TGCTCTAGTGACCTGCCGGGAAAAGAGGAGCTCCAAGTCGCTGCTGCCCCTTTGGGCTGCGTCCCACAGAACACCCACCGGCAGCTGGCCTAGATCAAGGCCTAGGTGACCTCAGCGCAGCCCAATCAGCAGAACCTCAGCCTACATCCAGTGCAGACTCCAGAGCACAGGCATCAGTGTGTGTTATTTTAAGACACTGAGTTCCAGGATAGCCTGTTATAGAGCATTATGGTGGCACCTGTTGAGAAATCTAACCAGTGAAGGGATAAGCCAGAATTCAAAATCTAGGCCAGTCTGGCTCAAAAACCCACTGTTAGTTCCACTATGAGTTTTCTCTGATGAGACTCTGGTGAGTTTTCTCAAACAGATTAATACCGCCACTCCCAGGATGTGCTTGGTAGAGTACATTTTCAATAGGCTACTGAACACTCATTCCACATCAAGCCACAGATTGAAAACCATGGTGAAGGCCATCACAGAGTACTACGCCCTTCCTGAAACACTGAATCTAAGCCTTTCTTCTCCCATCATCCCACACCTATGCACAGCCAAACCCAAAACAGTAGCTCCAAGTGAGCACTTCTACAAGTAAGTTGCTATGTGCAGATGCAGAATTTTTAAAAGTTTACCAGTATCTGAAAGAGTGAATGTTTCACACAGATATGCACAACAAATATTTATCATGCATCTAACACTTACCAGCTAGGTAAGGAGGAATATGAAAACAGACAAAATCCTCACCCTCATGGAATGTACATTCTGGTAATACTTAAATAACAAAGGCATTTTCCAATTGCTTAACATGTATAAACTCATTTATTAGTCATGTGTAACTTCTCATAACCCAGTGAAAGAGTAATAACCCTATTACTATGTCCATTCCAGAGATGAGGAAACTGAGGACCAGAAATGACATGTAATTTTCCTAAAGTCAGAAAACAAACAACAGAGCCAGTCAGGGGTCTGGGTCTGAGCCCATACTGTGTCCACTACGCTGTACTGTCCCTGAAACTCTGTAATTAGCAGCATTTTTAAGTCAAATGTGATGAATTCATTTACAAGGTCAAGCTTATATACAAATGGGAAGAGTGCACATGTAATGACCTCAAAGATGTGCTAAGTGAAAAAAAAGCAACATATGCAGAAAATATTTGTTTTATTCTGGCCAATATCTAATTCTTAACTCTGAAATAAATCTTTTCCCATACCACCAAAATCTGACACAGACTCCCTTGTTTTATTTGTTCGTTATTATTTATTTTTTTAAAGATGAGATAAAATTCCTAATACAAACCATGAAATAGTACTACTCACTTGCTATGTATTAATAACTTCAAAGAAAAGAAAATTCAAAAACTGTGTGCAGATTCCAGTTTTGTCAAACTTCAATTCTTTTAACAAATTCAAAATCAAAGTATTAAAAACACTATCTGGAAGATCAAAATAGTTTTATATTAATTTCTTGTCTCTGATGAATTATAACTAATTTCTCATTTAAACAGCTTTGTCAAAGCAGACATTTTGGGGGTGCCAAGAGTTGCCTACGACTCATATACTGACCTTGCCTATTTCACGTGCCCGAACCTGGATGTCTGACTTCAAATTCAGCACCTCTACATCAGAACTGCTGAATCCCCACCTCCCTAACCTGTCCCTCTCCTGTCTCCCCTAGCCCCGGAAATGGGGATTCCGTAATCCCAACGAATCAAAACCTTTGAGCTGTTCATGACTTTCTCTCACAACCAATCATCCAATCAGCAAACCCTATTGACTTTCAGTGAACAATCCTCTTGTTCACGTTCCCTTCCCTGTTCCCTAGCTGGTCCCCTTGCTGCGACCGCCACCCAATGGTCTTTCTCCACACAGCAGACAGAAGGAAGCTATGAAAACCAGGTAAGCTCATGTCACTCCTTGGCTTGAAACATCTGAGTGGCTTCCCACGCCTCTCGGACCAGCCACGTGAGGTCCCTGAAGGGCCCACAGCCCCACCTGAGGTGCCAGCCTCTCTGCTTCCTCTCACTGCCCTTCCCGAGCACGCCACTGCCACGGCGTCACTGCACCCACCGTGCACTCCACCGGAACGGTCTCCATCTCCGTCTCCCACAGGATTTCCTGCCCTCCTCGCCACCGCTGCGGTCGAGTCTCCGCATTCTCTTCACGTTACAACAGATGCAGATCTCCTGACTGTGAACACGGTCGCCACGTGTCTGCTCACCCCACTTCATTTTTCTCCACGGCACTGACTGCACCTGAAGAACTAACTGCATTCTGCCATGTACAATGTGCTCCCGTGTGTGATGTGCACCCACGTTTTTGACCCAAACATTCAGGAGAATATTTCATTTTAATTTTTAATTTACTTTTTTATTTATATTTAGGTATTTTTTCTATTATAAAAGGAATTTTAGCGTTTATTTTTTAGTATGTTATGGTATGAGAAATGTTATGTAATAAATAATTACAAAACACAAGAACAGATACAAGGTATAAGAAATTTTATGTACCAGTAACAAATTAGTACTACCCGTGTATAATGAGCATCCTTATTTTTCCCTCAAAAATTTGGGCAAAAACATGTGCATTATACACAGCACAATACAGTACACACTCGTGTGCTACTGTCTGCCTCTGCCTCTGCAATGTTCGCTTCACGGAAGCGAAGGCTTTATTCAGTTCACACTCTACCTGCCCCTCGGAACAGAGCCTGGCCGAGGGCCGCACGCGTCACCTGTCTGCCCAGCTCATTCTGACCACAGCAAGTGAAAGCAGTGCTTCTCACACCTGCATGCGTCCGAACCACCTAGGGCAGCAGTGTTTACCTGGTATGCCACAGCATGCTGGGGCCACAGAAATGTTAAAGCATGCAACACCTGACTATTTAGTCCAGGGTACTGACTCTTTCCCCTTAGATCATCAAATTTTTAAAAATGACAACAGTCTCTATAACAATAGCCATACAGTGTGAATGAGTCAAAATCACACCTACTTTTTTATCAGATAAGCAAAAAAATTTTTTTGGTGTGCCACAGAATTTTAGTAATTAGCTTGTGTGTGCCTTGAGGTGAAAAAGGTGAAAATAGCTGATTTATAGGGCTGGGAAGGCAGACTGCTGATTCAGCTACCCTGGGGTGGGGCTTGAACATTCAGAATTTCCCAGTAGGTTGTAGATGCCATAGTCCTGGGACCACATTTTAAGAACCACTAATCTAGGCAATGCTATACCTTTTTTTCTTTTAAAAAAGAATAAGGACCAACTAAATCAAGGTTATAGTTCTAACAAGGTCTTAAAAGTACTCTATGTTAATGACTAAAGTTGAAACTTTATCCTTTCAAGTTTAGATGAGAAGGCCGATATACTTCTGGAGATACTGAAACACCAAAACAGCAGACTCTGGTTCAGAGAGCTGCCCAAATCACAACACCCCATGTCTAGGAACCACCCCAGTACCCAGGGGCAGGCCCACAGTGGTCCTGTTTAGGTTACGTAAGTGTGATCACATCATGTCCTTGGTCATGGCAGAATGGTCCAGAACACATTCTCCCTCCGAAGAATCTTAAATTCAGACGAAGTGGGGGGGGTTACTAACTCCAAAGTACGTCAAAAGCAAGGCTTTCAGCAGAGAAGGCCTCAACTCTCACTGGGGTTCTCACAGTGGCCCGACCGCCACCTTTAACCCTTTGTACTGCACCCAATTATCTTCCGACAGAGTCTCTCTTTGCCTACAGTATAATTCTTGTATACTTACAACCAAAAGTACTAAAGAAAAACAGTAAATGCATGAGATTTATAGAAAATTATACTGGAAATACAATTTGTGAAATATCAAAGCTTTTTTCCATCAATCCACCTTAAGACATTTATTTCCCTTCTCTAGATTACTATACTGTCCATAAGATCATTGAATTTGAAGAGTACACACCACATTTTTGACCATACAACACCAGCTCTTTCTTGTACTTGCTTTCAGAAAAGTCCTCTGAAACCTAACAAAAAGCCACCAATTTGCCTTTAATTATTCAACAGGGAGTGGATGCCTAATATGGGTTGCAGATATGCAATAGCATGCACATCTGCAAAACAGCAATTAATAACAAAAACAGGTTCTTAAGTACCTTTAAATACCCTGCTGGGGAGACAGAAAAAATAAACAAGAAAAATTTCAGATAATAAATGCTAATGAAGAGAAATAAAGACACTTAATGTGAAACAATGACTAACAAGACTGCTCTTAGATTAAATGGTCAGGGGAGGCCGCCCTGAGGTGACATTTCAGCTAAAACCTCACCAACACACAGCAGCAGCCAGCAGAGATCAGCACACAGCTAACATAAAGGTCCTCAGGCCGGAACTGGCTCAACCTGTTCTAAGAGCCAGTTTGAGTGTGCAGTGCACTGAGGAAGAGGGAAACGCATTGACAGCGAGCTCAGAGAAAGAGGACCTATCAAGTAGGGCTCTGTAAGAAAAGCAGGCTTGGAGCTGTTTATAAGTTAACTGGTATAGGACAAGGAGGATATTCGCAACAAAATGTGTACACAGAATAGTTGCACAAGGGATTAAGAAGAATGAAAAGTAAGTCATAAACAGTGGCTATCACAGAAATTTTAGAGCTGAAAGAAACCTTAGCTGTCCTAGTCCAAACTCTCATTTTACTGAAACGACAACATGGCCCAGGCTATGGCTTCTTTGAGGTCAGTTCAAAGTTAAGTTAGGAGTTGTATGCAAAGCTCTGGAACTCTCAGGCCATCGCTCTTTACATAATTCTTGCCTTGATCTGAAATCTAAAACTAAGTATTTACCATGTGCACTGCCAAAAGTGACATAGCAGCATTCAAATTAAAACATATTGAAATTTTTTTAAGTTATCCACACCTAATGATTCATACCTCTAGTCCTCTCATGAAATTCTTTTAAAGCGGCTGACAATGTCAAAGTATTCACTGCCAGATAACTCTTCCCAAGGTACGCAGAGCAGGAAAATACGAAGACAAAACATACTTACATCTGGGTATTCTTTTACAGGCACATAAAGTTTCTCTTGTAGCTGAACGACAGGCCCCACGGCATCGGGCAGCTCCGCACTCCTCTTCTCCGTGCTGCCATTCAGTGTGTCATTGTACATGTCTTTCCGCACTCTGCTAATTTCTGTTGAAAGGAAGCATTGTAAATGTATTAGACCAAAATGTTCTTGCTAGTCCAAGGCAGGGGAAAGAGGGGCAAATTTCTTTGGTAAAGGATTAAAACTCAAAGAAGTAAAGAATTGCTGACCTTGTCTATCATTCTCTGGGTAAGTCTAACAGGACTATAGCTTAATTAATTTCTACCAAAAATCAAATTTATACACCAAGTAATATATTTTATTAAAACTAACCTAGGAGCCCAAGTTCTTATCCACTATGATACATTAGGTATATGTTACTTTATCTAATTTCTCCATGCATAAATGAGGCCAGTAATTCCAAATGATGGCTTTAGTCAAATAACTACCACAAGAATGCCTATCAAACAAAAGTTAATACCAAAGGCTCTCTTGTACTTCAGATAAACATATTTTTAGTTCAGCAGAAGTCTGACTTTGATACTCAAATTTAGTGACTAAAGCTTTAGAAATAGGAAAGGTATGTTAGAAAGGGTGTAAGGAGAAGGCAGGATGGAATGAACCTTAGATAAACCAGCATTTAAGGGATGTGAAACAGAAGATCCAAACCAAGAAGAAATGGAGGAAGACAGAAGTAGGGAAGAGTTGTCGAAGAAGCTAAGAAATCACAGAAACAAGGACAGGGTAATCAGAAGTGTCACATATCACAAAGGTATAGGGTAAGGTCAAGAGCAAGGTACCTGGATTTAATAGCTAAAAGACAGACGATCAGAGACATTTTAAAGAAAAGATGGTAATGAAAATTAAACTATACTGGGTTGAATGAAATATAAAAATTAGGTCCTCAGTAAATTAGTCAATTACCTTTAAAAAAAAACTATTATGACATCTCAGGTGTAAGTACACCTCTTTAAAAGAAACTGTAAGAAATCTATTTTAATGAATCAAACCCTGTTAGAAAAAATTAATGAACTCTTTCAAGAATTCTTTAAGCTTCCACAAAGTGCTAGAGGATAGGGTCCTGAGCACTGGAACGTAAGAGTTGTTGCTATTAAATTAGCTGAACAGGCCCTGGCAGGGTTGGTTAAACCCTCAGTTGGTTCAAGTGTCGTCCCAACACACCAAAGTTGCGGGTTCAACTTCTATGAGGGCACATCCATGAATCAACCATGAATGCATAAGTAAGTGAAACAACGAACCAATGATTTTCTCTTCCCACTGCCCCTTCTCTAAAATCAATTTAGAAATTTAAAATTTTTCCCCAAAAAATTAATTCTTGAAAAAAATTACAACATTTCTGTAACCATCTTTCCATTCTATAGAGTACATCCTCCTTGGGGGAAAAGGTTTGTGTCCATTAGTATTTAAAAATGACTTTTTATTTTTAAAATATATTTTGTATGCTTTCCAAACATGGAATTTCAATCATTGTTATTATGGAACTATTGAATACACACTTTAATTGTTTTTAGTTATTTAAATCACTTTTAGTTAAGTAAAATCTAGCACAGCAAAAAGGCATTATAAAAGATATTTAGTTATACAGTCTTAATCAGTGGAAACACTACACTCTAATACATCTTCTGCTTCTGTGATGGCAATATTTATAACAAATTTTCTCTCAAAATACAATGTGCTTGTTAAAGCTAAACCAATGGTTAATTCTGAAAGCAAGTGAAATTTTGAAAAAAAAACTCTAAAATGGTATCTTGCATTGAACTGTACTACATTATAGGAACAAGACCTCAGTTCTTTATTATTTTTTATACTTCTAGTTTCATGATGAAATCTTTCCTACAGATGTCCAGTATCAAATCAATGTTTTTCCTGAATAAGCATGTGACTCTCAAATCAAGTTTACAACTAAGTAATAATTTAAACATAAATGATTACTTATGTAATTTTAACAAATAATTAACTGAAGGGAATAAGAAAAAGTTAATCTAAGTAAAATTACACACAACCTTTAGTCCCATTCTCCATATAAAAACTTTCAGTATTAGTTTATTATATTTAAACCTTCTTCAAACTGACCAATTCTGGTTGTGAAGTTAATAAATACTGATAGAGAAACCTGACAATATTATAAAAGGAAAATATAGATAAAATTAGCTTAGAAGTACAGATGCAAATATCGTAAATCAAGAGGCTCCCCCAGCATATTAAAAGAATGATGCACCAAAACACAGTGGAATTTATACTATAAATGCAAGAGTAGTTCAATATTTAAAATCTATAAGTAATCAAAATAATATAACTGTTTGAGGCAAGGGAATGATTTTCCAGGTAAGCATTTTAGAAAACTGTTTAGATTTAGAAAAACCAAGAAAATCAATTATAAATGAGAAAATCCAGATGCCTCAATATAAAAAACATAAATATATAAAAACCAATAACCTTCCTATAGCCAGTTAAGGTGACACAATAGAAAATATACTTACAATTTAAGTTATATTTCTATAAACATTTGTGTGATTAATTGCTGAAAATTCCATGAGAAACTATTACCCTTTGTCTCCCCAGGTTCTAGAATCCTGCCTGGAACACAGTGGGTCGTCAATTAATACTCAGTGGACTGGGCAGGTGGGTGGGTGAATGAAAGGAGAAATGAACTAGGTTCTAGGGCATTCAAGTTAATTAAGTCATGATTCCAGTCCTGGGAGAACTTAGTCTAACACAAGAGGTATATAAAGGAACAGAGAACCAAGCTACAGGGACAGTCGGGATGAAGGGACAGGGGCAGCGCAAAAGCAGCAGTTATCAACTACTGCAGGTACTAGGGTCAAGAAAGAAGTCAAGAGGAAAGAAACTCTGAGACTGTTTTCTAAGGATGGGGAGTTGTGTAAAGCAAAAGCACAAACAATAAAACTATAAATTCGAGTTCCGGCCAAGATGGAGGCGGAGGTAAAAACCCTTTGTTTCCTCACACAACCAGAAGGAGGGTAACAACCAATCTAGACCACATGGGTGGGGCTGGCTGAAGGAGAAACTGAGATTCGGCGCTATCTGTGGACTACAGCAGTTGCCACGATGGTAGAAACTCCCAGTCTCACATGACAGAGTTCCTCCTAAAGTGGTCTAGCAAGCGAGCTGCAAGGCTCCCTCTCCCGCCCCTCCCCCACAGCGCAGCAAGGAGGGCTGCCCTGCCCTCGTGAATCCCTAATGCCCCTGCCCCCTTACAACTTAACAGCCCACCTAGACAAGGAAATAGGGCCCAAATGAAAGAACTTCAGGAAGAGAACTAAGCGAGGAGACAGCCAACCTATCTGATGGGGAATTTCAAGCTCTGGTAATCAAAATGCTCACAGGACTGATGGAGCTTGGTGGAAAAATGAAAAAAACAAATGAAAGATGCCCAAAATGAAATAAAGCAAAATATTCAGGGAACCAACAGTGACAGGGAGGAAACCAGGACTCAAAGCAACAATTTAGAACAAAAGAGGAAAATAAACATCCAACTGGAACAAAATGAAGAAACAAGAATTCAAAAAAATGGAGACTTAGGGATCTCTGGGACAACCTGAAACATTCCAAAATCCGAATTATAGGGGTGCCAGAAGGAGAACAGCAGCAGCAAGAAAACTGATTTGAACAATAATGAAGGAAAATCTTCCCAATATGGCAAAGGAAACAAGACTTCAGGAAGTCCGGGGAGCCCAGAGAGTCCCAAAGAAGCTGGACCCAAGGAGGAACACACCAAGGCATGTCATAATTACATTTGCCAAGACTAAAGATAAGGTGAGAATCTTAAAAACAGCAAGGGAAAAGAAGACAGTTACCCACAAAGGAATTTCCATGAGACTATCAGCTGATTTCTCAAAAGAAAACTTGTAGGCAAGAAGGGGCTGGAAAGAAATATTTGAAGTTATGAGTGGTAAGGACCTCCATCCAAGATGACTCTATCCAGCAAAGCCATCATTTAGAATGGAAGGGCAGATAAAGTGCTTCCTACATAAGATCAAGTTAAAGGAGTTTGTCATCACCAAGCCCTTATTATATAAAATGTTAATGGGACTTATTTAAGAAATTGAAGAACAAAACTATGAACAGTAAAATGACAACAAACTCACAATTGTCACCAACTGAACCTAAAAAACAAAAACAGAGACTAAGCAAACAACTAGAACAGGAACAGAATCAGAGAAATGGAGAACAGAATCAGAGAAATGGAGATCACATGGCAGGTTATCAGGGGGGAGGGGAAAGGGAGGAATACAAGTGAAAAGGAACAAGAAAGAAGCATAATTAGTAGGCATAAAATAGATGGGGAGAGATAAAAAATGGTATAGGAAACAGAACTAAAAGAACTTGAATGTACAACCCATGGACATGAACTAAGGGGGGATGCTGGAGGGTTGGGGGGTATAGGGCAGAGGTGGGATAAAGGGGGAAAGTTGGGAAAACTGTAATAACATAATCAATAAAAAATACTTGAAAAATAAAATTATAAATTCTACTTCTTAAGATAAAAAAGTCTTTCTACCATGTTTCTTTCCATCTCTAAGCTATGTTGCTCAATATAATAATAGAACACAGATTATATACAAAACAGCACACATGGGAACAAAAGATAACGAAGTTCTAGTTCTGGAGAGATTTATAGTCTAATTCACTGTCGATCTAACCATCTGAGTATGAGTACTACCCTTTATTAATAGCAACTTTGTAGCCAGGATATCATTAGTACTTCTTGGCATGTTATTTTACAACACTCAAGTTAGAACAGGTTTTGATTCCAGTTCTAACAGTAACTGCTTGTGTGATTTTAGACACATTTCTTAACTTGTATGTGCCTGTGCCTCATATAATTAGAGGTTGCTCACTGAGTGAGTCAATGGAATCCACTGGTTTCCAACCTCAGTATGTAAAACTCCATTTATTTTCACTCATGGTTGAAGTTCTGTCTCCAAACTCTTCTTTCTGTAAGTCCTGGCAATCAGAGCTTTGGCTAATGGTGGTATCAGCTGATATAATTACAGCCAAAGAAAAGCATGTCCTGGGAATGGGTGATACTCTAGTTCCTTTGCAGGCAGTGGATTCACAGGTG